AAAAACTTTAAGTTGCACTAAATCTACAAAAGTATAAGAAAGAGTAACATAAAATCAACTTTCATTATTCAACAATTCATGCAATAGTCCAGCATAGTAGCCAAAATGCCTGACTAGAATTATACAGAATACGATGAAGCTTTTTAGATCAGCACATATAACATAATAAGGAAAAACCAAAATGCCGGAACATGAATATGGATACTTAGAAATAAGAGCATAATGGCAAAAATACTACACCTGAGCATTATATGGAGCAGCTTGATCAACCGAGTTGAACGAGAATACATCATGTGAAATCACAAATTCACTGTCAAGATTTGCATTCTGCCATAACAAAAAAATAGCTCTCTAGAGGATATGATCCGACATTACAATCTCTAGGGTACATGTGGAAATCTTTGAAGGGCTTACTCTGATAAGTGGTATCACATGAATCAAACACCAGAATTGAACACTAAGATTAACATCAATAACAATCTAACAGTACCAGAAAAGTAAGTTAAAACACAACAGTGAGGACATGACTGTAACCTTATGGGCAGTGATATCACACCACTTCAGTTGAGAGCAGCAGTCGTGGCCTGATCCGTATTAAAATATTGTTGACAAGAATACACTGCCCACAAAATAATGCGACTTGGATTACACTATCCTGCGAATTTTGATACATAGTCCTTTCCAAAACAGAATATCTAAGATAAAATCTCTATAAGCGACCAATTTGCGCATAATTGAAATTAATACAGTGATCTCAGAGCATCTCCACTTTTCACATATATCCACTTATTGTTGGTCCAAATGAACAAAAGCAGAAAGTGACTAAATAGACTTCATATTTATACGATGAGCATACCTACTGCTCAACTATAATGACAAGACAAATAAGTTAGGAAACCACAATTTACAAGTACATGTTGTGCTTTGATTTCTATGATCTACAGCAAAGGCCGGGCATAATTGCGTGGCAAAAAAAGGAAAAAAAAAACAAAAAACCAAAAATGAAAATGAGAAAGTATTTAATAGAAAAACCAAATGGCTAATAAACTACTAGTCGGAAAAGTAAAACAAGAACCTGATAGTAATTATCTCCGCTGTTAGTCAATAATTTGCAGTCACTGATAGATGAACACAAGTTTTCATTTCTCAAACTCCCAGAATAAATGCCTTATCTTCTTGAACAATTTGTTGGGGGAAATTTACGCAATTCAAAACACTATTCTTCTGTGATTCACAAACAGAAGATTCTGCAGGTAGTCTACTTCTAAATTTCATTTACTTTGTCCTGCTTGATTTTAGTCCATAGAAAATGACAAACAAAAGGTTTTCTGGATCCAAAACACAACCAGATACTCAACAAACACAGCAAGTACTAGTGATGGCCAATAAATTATGTACACCACAAATGATAGCATTCTTTAGAGAACAATAATCCTATAAAGTTCAGATGACGACACAGTAACTACAAATCCACATTCTACCCACCAAGGTTTATCTTTTCCAGCTTTCCAGTATAGTATCAAAGACATCAGATGATAAAACCACAACAGTACTCTAACTCCAGTAGTTGAATATGAAAGCAGAACGTAAAAATATAAACACAAAATAAGCTACCACCACAATCAGTCAAAGGCTGTCACTCGTCGTCACCCTTGTCGAGCCACCATCTCGGCCGAGGAAATGTCAGACCCCTCTTCTTCGCCGTCTCTAAAAAGTCAACATCTTCACCACCACAATCCTTATCTCCAACAACAATCCTCAGTACATTCAAAAAGTCCAATAAACCCTTCTTCGACTCCATTGTCTCCCCTGAACTCTGCCCTTCAACACACTTTCCTTTCCCCTCCAATGTCACAGGTAAATGCCTCTTTCTTCCTAACCCACTAACATCACTAGCTGCTCTCTTCCGACTTCCTTGGCCATCACGCGCACTAACATATCTGAACTTGTCAATTTCCTCAATGCTCTTACCCTTAGTTTTCAGATTTCCATCAGTATGAATCTTTTCAGAAAGCTCTGATCCATTTACGGAATGGCCAGTTTCATGAAGTTCCTTACTTCTATTTACCCTGATATCCTCCAATGCTTCAACAATGTCCTCTGACCTACGATTTCCATGATTGCCCTTAACCTTAGGTAAACCATCTTTCGGCAACTCACCAGTTTTAGGAACTACAACAATTTCTCCAGCTCTAATTATGTCCATTGAATCATCATCCAAATTCCAAGCACCACCAGAATCCGTACTGTCCACAACTATAACCTCAGTCTCGTCATGTGCACCTCGAGGTGCCTCGGTTTCATCAAAAACTGCCTCCGTTTCGTCTGCAGGAATTGTTTCCCCACCAAGTGCCTCCGCCGGAACCCTAGCTTCATGCGGATCGATCCCGTCATCCCAACCCCTGTCTGAAGATCTATCAATTCTTGCTTTACCATGCCGAACAAGGGGCCTGGCGCTGTCGGAGGGTGACCCATCGAGGTTTTGATCATCGGCGGAGAAGTAAGAGGGGAGGTGGTGCTCAGGCGGCGTGAGGAAAACGGCGTCGTCCTCCACTTGCTGCTGGGTCGAGGTCACGCTGGCGGGGGGTGAAACCATGAAGATTCCGGTCGGCTGCGATGGAGTCGGCTCGGGCGATGACGAGATTTCGCCCGAGTTCGCGGCGGTGAAGTTCTCGGACTCCCGGGCGAAGGGCAGATGGGGAATTTCGCCTCCTGCGAGGGGGTCGGTCGGCAGAGTTCAGTTATGGAGGCAGATGGGTCTCGCTCGATCTCTGCTTCCATTTGGCTTCTCACAGTCGTCACTCTGTGGCGGAGGATGAGAGTGTTCGCTGTTCAGTTCATAGATCCGTCGTGGAATTTGGGGGTTTTCCAAGTTTCCTGTTGATTTGGTTTTGTTCCGTAATTTTCTTATTAACGTTTTACAATTAATTTGTGATAATTTATAAGGATTATAAATATTTCATAAAAATACTGCGGATACAAGTATTAAATAGTTCGTGAATTATTATTAAATGATATAATTTAAATGATTTATATTTTTTATTGTATAATTATTTTATTAATACAATTTATATATCTTTCTATTATATTATTATTTTTTTAACACAATTATCATTATAATTCTTTGAAATATATTAATTTATATGGTGTATTAAATTTGTATGGTCCGTCTTAAATTTATAGTTTTACTTTAGTTTTACTTTTAAAATTATCATTAATATAATAATCAAGGTATATAAAAAAAATTATATTATTCATTATATTCATGTTACTATTTACTATTTATTTATTAAAATCTAGCATTTGAGCAAAGAGCAGTGAATTTTATAATTTAATTATATATAAATGTGATATATATTATTAAATAAAATGTTATTCTAATTACTATTCCATATATAAAGTTTATTTATGTTACTTTTTGTGTGTAACAAGTGGATGTGGATGGATTGCCAGTTAGTCTAAGAAAATATTAAGGGGATGATTGTTTATGAAATAATTTGTTCAAAATGAATTATTTTTGTTAACCATAGTTAATTTTGAAAAAGGTGGTATGGTTAGTTATTAGTGGAATTTTAAGAATGTATTATAATAATATTTAAAATAAAATGATTAAAACTGATTTGATGTAAGAGTAGGAGATAAATGATTGAAAATGATTGGTAGTTAAAATTAAGTGAGTGGATGAATAGTGAATTGAAGTTGATGTGATGTGTAAGAATGATTGGTTTGTATTATTTAATTATATGAATAATATTAGAGATAGTGGGCTTGAATTAAAGTTGAGTTAGATTTTGAGTATTAAATGAATGGGAATTAAAAAATTCATAAACAATCAAGCCCTAAGAGCAACCACAATGCTTTGGGTCTCTTCCAAAAAGTTCACATGCCATGTAGGAAATAGACTTAGTCTATAAAAAAATGTTTCACAATGCAATTAAAAATGAACTTGGTCTAGCTTATGTGGCAATAGAAAAAAAGAGACCAAGTCCACTCTTGGGTCCATTTTAGAGCATCCACAATGCTTTGGGTCTCTTTTTGTATATGTGGCATATGATTGGACTTGAGTTTTAAATGACATGGACAAACCCAAGTAAAAAAACTCAAAAACTTTGCAATGCAAAAATAAAAAGACTAGGTCTAGCATACATGTCAACCAATAGAAATGCTCTAATATATTTTATTCATTAAAAAAAAAAATTAAGAACAAATGATGAGTGTTTGGGTTTGTACTTGGGTCCAAAATAGAGCTAAGTGTGGACTTGGTCTCTTTTTTTTCATTGCCACATAAGCTAGACCATGTCTACTTTTAATTGCATTGGGAAGTATTTTTTTATAGACTAAGTCTATTTCTCATGTGGCATGTGATTTTTTGTTAAGAGACCCAAAGCATTGTGGGTGCTCTTAGACCCAAGTGTGAACCTAACAATCATCAATTAATACACATATTTATTTGTGCCTATTTTTATTGGTTGATATGTGTTGTAGACCTAGTGTTTTATTTTTGCATTGGAAAGTTCTTTGGTTTTTTTTACTAGGGTTTGTCCATGTCATTCATGACCTAAGTCCAATTATATGCCACATATACAAAAAAGAGACCCAAAGCATTGTGGGTGCTCTAAGTTATTTAGTTTATTTTGTTACAAAATTGGTCCCACGTAAGTTAAGGTGACAGTTAAGTCAAAGTTTATAACAAATAGAGGGAGAAATCATATTCAAAATGGAGGAAAAATTTATCTATATCTATAGATAATGTAAGAGATTGTTGGAATAATTTAAAATAGTAATCTTGATTTTATAATTAAATAAGTTGACTTACTATTAAAGGAAATATAATAAAAATTACTTTAATATTTATAAAAAAAAGTAAAAATTAAATTAAACCTACATGTAACAATCCGGTTAGTAACACGATTTTCTATATAAATAAAGTTGTATCAATTTTAAAAATTATTTTATGATAATTATCGCAATAAAAATTTAATTCTTCATATTAATTACGAATCACTACAATTTCTTATTCTTTTACTAACCAAGCATACAACATGTCTCTAAAAAACGTCTATTAAATAAATTTTATTTTTAGAAAATATTATTTAAATATGTAAGATAAAATTGTAACAATACTAACAAAAAAAAAATTGAGAACCAATTATGAAAATTTTGTTATGACATTTATCACGATGTTACAATAAAATCTTATTTATCAAAATTAATAGCGAATCACAGTGATTTCTTATTCATTTGGTAGTCAATCATATACCAAAATATTTATCGTACTTTCAAAAAATCATTTAATCAAGAGGATTAGCTCAGAATCATTTGATCTATCAAATTTTTCAAAGATTATAAACCCAATTTTCTAAAATATCAAAAGAAATTTGTTTATTTATGTTTAATAACAAATAAATCTTTATCATTAATAACAAATCATGCGTTCTCCTGTTTTGGTTACTATCCAGTCATATGATGACCGGAATATGCATGAAAATATTGCAGAATATAAGTACAAAGTGAATTTAGAAATCAGTTGTAAAAATCTTATTGATATAACTACGACAATACTATAATATAATTGATATCTCAACATTAATAACAAATCTCTACGATCTTCTATTCATTTCGGAACGAGTAGACTTGGCCAAATGACGGGCCGTGACCCGACCCGACCCGGTCCGTCAGGTCGGTGGGCCTCAATTTGATGGCCCGTAACTGGCCCGACCATTTCTATGGGCCAATTCATTTAGCCGGCCCTGAAACGCCGAGTCACCGACCCGCCGGTTTTCGGCCGGTTCAGACATGACCTGGCCCATTAAAAAATAAAAATTTACAAGGGCCGCGCCGTCTTCCAACCTACGGCTCGAAAAAAAAAAAATGCTAAGAACCAGAACCGACCCGCATGGCCAAGGTTCCGGTTCAATGAACCGGCAAAATCCGGGCCAGGCCGGGTAGCCCGTGGCCATGTCTAGGAACGAGCCATATACAAAAAAATATTTATTATGAGTTCAAAAATATCATTTGATTTTATCAATAACTGCACCAATCCATTATTTTTAGAAATGCATATTGCGATTCACTATATCATATAATCTCATATAAGTCAATAGATTAGAAAGAAAAAATAAAATATTTATAATTTATAAGAAAAAATAAAATAATATTGATGTAATTAAAATTTAATAATTCTTTTTAACTTCAAAATACTATACATTATAATATTTTTCAATTAAGTGTTGGTTATAATATTTGCCACAAGTTTTCAACTTTAGTCTAACTTTTTTCGAAATTGAGATAATATATTATAACAACGTATGGATAGAGAGAAGTATTTTGTTGGTATTATTACTTGATAATATTTGAATATGTTAAATTTTCATTATCATTAATTACACATTGGATCTAAAATGACGACTATTTTATAACAAGTGAAATAATCTTGGACGTGGTGAGTTGCCGAGCGTTTTTGGCGTCCTTACAGGGAAGAGCACAAGATTGGTTCCACCAGCTCACCCCGAGCTTTATCAGGGACTTTGAGGAGTTTGCGAGCATGTTCTCTAATCAATTTTCCAGTGCGAGGTCGCACGATAAAACTTACCTTACTTTGGTGGCTATGGAGCAAGAGAGTGGGGAGACTCTGAGAAGCTATAAGTCGATATACTAGGGCATGCATGGAGAGTTCCTCGTCATCAGAGGAGATCAAGGCTGGAGGATTGACGAGGGGTCTGGAAGCTGGTCCGTGTAGGAGCTCGTTGGCCAAGTAGCCAACGATGACTGATGGCGAGGTCTTGACTAGGTGTAACAAATACATCAATATGGAGGAGACGGAGGCTTAGTTTGCCAAACTGGAGAAATTGTTTCGACTTGAGACTAAAAAGGAAAAGAATGGTTCCTCGAAAAAAGAAAAAGGAGATGATAGGAGAGAGGACTGGTGGAAAGGTGGATCTCTACGAGATGGGCAGAGGTACGATAAGTGCAACCCCTTGAGATCACACATGGAAGAAATGTTCGAGACCATTGAGAAGAAATCGAATGGAAACATGGTGACCTGGCCGAGGTCGAGAAAGGAGAGCCTACACAGCCCAAGTCTGGTTTGTACTAGAGGTTCCATAGGGATTACGACCATCTGAATTTCTTAATGCGATTAAAGGGGTGTTTGTTTAAATTTTTTTTTAATTCATATTCAATTCATAATCAAAATTTAACTCAACTTTAACTCAACTCCACTATCTTCAATATTATAAATATAATAAAATAATATCCACCAATCATTTTCACACATCACATCAACTTTATTTTACTATTTATCCACTCACATAATTTAACTAACAATCACTTCATATCTTTTATCTCGAACTTTTACATTAAATTTTTTTTAATTGTTTTATTTTAAATATTATTTTAACATAAACTCAAAAACTTACTAACAACTAATTATACTACATTTTCAAGATTAACTTTGTTAACAAAAAAAACTCATTTTCAGTGGATATATTTGTGTCCTAGAACGCCTTAAGTGATTACGATCGTCGAATCATAAATTGTACTTGAAAGTTGGCGCTCCAGTAATGCTGTTGAAAAATATTGATCATTCCATGAGATTGTGCAACATTACACATTTAGTGATTACTAAGCTCAACAAACATGTCTTCGAATGTAGAATTTTGAACGGTTCATAGACTAGTGATAAAATTTTAATTTCTAGGCTGACAATCATACCATTAGATCTTAGGGTTCCGT